CCCCCCCCTGGTTAGTTAAAACGTTGAAAGTGAAACACCACAAACCCTCTTCTTTCTCTCTGCCTTTTCTTTTCCCCCGGTAAACTACCCGGTCCCCCGAATATCCTGCCTAAACAGGCAACCCTTGACATCACGACTCGTGTGGATTTTTTTTCGGGGCGATGGTCTGGGGGGTTCCTGGTTTAATCGTGGAACGTGGAAAGTGAAAGGATGACGGTCACCACACCCCCCTGGCCCTCTGGGTCCCCCCCAGTCCCCTTTTCCCAGTGCTGGTCCCAGCCACCTTCTTCTCGTTATCTTATCGAGATCGTGGAGACCTCAAGCTCAAGTCTCGGGATAATATGGATTTTTTGTGGGGGCAATGTCCACTACCCTGGTCCCCGTCATCCCTCTATTTCTCATTTCGCAATATGCTATGGAGTCGTCCCGTTTCCCCATGCCCCGTAATAAGGCCATGAGGTAGTATGTTGGACAGAAATTTCATGCAGTAGTCGTGTTTTGGATTTTTTTTTCTCCATCTCTTTCTCTTGGTGCCCAGGCGGAAGGACGTTGGCGGGGAGAGGGTGAGACGATGTCGTTACATGGCGTGATGTGAGGTTCAAGTGCTTCGCATGCGTCCTGTTGGTCGGATTTCGGGATAACTTGAGTAGGCGGTGGGGGCGCAATAACATTCTCGTAGTAAGCATATTCTTGTTGTTAAGAATAGCTGATTTTGGGCTTCAGATATCGTTGTTTGAGTTTACATATATTCCAGATCATAAAGCTGCGACATACACAAGTGTCATATTTACGGGTCACGGAAGGCTTAATAACAATTGTAAGATATGGAGATGAGTCGACTGTGAATCGAGGCGGCGGCCGAGAGGAAGAAAAAAAATCAATGGCTTAATCGGCTCTCGGCTCCGGGTGCTCTCGCTCTCGACATGACATGAGCACAAGGGGTAGAATACGAGATGTCAGATATCGATGAATATTCTAGAATGTGTCATATTACTCATGAGAAACCTGCGGCACTAATGCTTTCCCACCCACTATCTTACCGTGTCAAGTCAATACACTGTTTGTCGCAACACTTGACACGTGATGTGACTCGATGAGGCTGCAAGAATGTGATTTTTATCAAAGAAAAAAAAGGATAGATAATTACAGAAATTTGTAAACGAGAGTCGTGGTAATGCGTTCTATGATCTAAGTTCAGGTGCACAAAGGCACGGGAATATGCATGGTCACTCCTCAACCATCCACTTGAGAGCGGCTCTATGTACATATGCCGTCTGCTCAAGCCATGGTCCTGTTGTATGCGTTTGTGTGGTAAAACCAATCCAGTTTCTCCAAAATCGCTTCCTCCGTGTAGTCTGCCGAGTTGATGTTCCTTGGGCGGAATTCGGGCTGCATCGGGTCAATGAAAATGGTGTCTTTGTCGTATCCCCATTTCTCGAGTTGAGTCACATTGAATGCTACCATCATGCTTTGAATCGTTAGTCTTGATATGCCCATAAATCGAAAGCTTTGAACTTACTCGTAATCCTCATGGACGAGGTTGTGGCAATGGAACATGTAGACACCCTTCCATGGTGCATATCTTGCTACGACTCTGACCACTTCGCCGGGAGCGACCCAAACAACATCCTTCATGCCTGCGGATTCGTATGGCATCACCGTGTTCCTTCCTCCAGTGCGAGAAAGGATTTGGAAATCAACGAGATGGATGTGGACTGGATGTGAGGCATTTCCACCTCCATGCCTCAACTCCCAGATTTCATCTTGGCCCAGGATTGGTCGGGTCAGGATGCGGTTTTCAATGTCTACCCAACCGACACCGTTGATGACCCATGAGCCGTTAACACGGGAAAAGGTAAAGTTCTTTGTGATGTTGGCCTCTGGTGGCGGAGGGATGTAGTGCATGTCGGTTGGGAGAGGATCGTTGGTTATGGAGTCGTCGTCTGGGTCGCTGACAATAAATTTCATAATGCGATTGGTTGCGGCAAAGTCGAGGTTTCCAGCCATACCACGCTCGTTGTACATGGTAATGTTCTTGCCTGCGTGGTTGGCAAAGTCGACAATTATCTCATAACGTTCACCTTCAGCCAGCGCAAGGCTCTTGGTTTCCACTGGATGCTGGAAGAGACCTGAGGAGAAAATTAGCAGAACCCAAATGGATTGATCAAGTAACATACCAGCATCCGAACCAATGACATGGAAGCTCATTGTTTCATTAGTTCCGTCTTCCTTGAGGAAAATGTCGAATGCTATTGCGAATCAGCACGCCGGTCACGATACAGATTACATGATCTAACTTACCACGACTGACAGCACCATCGAGCACGCGGAAACGGTATTTGCATGGCTTCACTTCAAGGTATGGCCAAGGCTGTCCGTTACTGCCAAATTAATTAGTCGCGATCAAAAAATCTTTCAGAATCTTCTTACACTTCAATCACATCACCCCAAAGTCCAGTGTGGTTGTTGTGGTTGTATATCAGAGATCCGTTGGTGGAATATTGCTTTGCAGATATAGCAAGTGGAATGTCAAGGTCGCCATCTGGCAAGTCAAGCGCTTGCTCTTCGTCATCGCTCAAGAGATAGAAGCCGTTCAGTCCGAAATACACGTTCTCGCCTGTTTCGTGTTCGGTGTGGTCCTGTGGGTATCAGCTTGGCCTTCGTAGCAATTAAATCAGACCTGACTAACATGGTACCAGATTGTTCGTGCATTTTGTGCATTTGGGTAGTAGTAATCTTTGTACTGGCCAGGCAGCGCGTAGTCTGCTGCCCATCCATCAAAGGGAGCACGATTGTATTGGCCGTGCACGTGGACAGACGAATTTGTTGGACTGACGTTGTTAAACCGTACAACAGCCTCTGAAATGGAACATTAGCTTGGTACGAGTAGGTTAAAGACCAACCTTACCTCGGCCCTTGCGCATCTTGAAGGTTGGACCAGGCACATGTCCATCATACGAGAACATATCGGCAGGTGGGAGGTCAGGATAGACCTGTTTTTTGATGGCCTTGACATCGACTTCGTAATAGTCAATGATAGCGCCTGTGACGTTGTTGGTGTAGGTGCTGTTCTGTCTTAGTTTTCGATCATTGTCGGGCTGTTGGATATCCTACAATTTTGATTCCTTGACTGGAGGTATGGGAAGTGGGTACTGAAAGATCCATTTGTACTCTGGACTGTTCCATCTTTCTTCCTTGTCGTTCGGAGGGAGCACGTCATCTGTTGGATACTCATCCAGAATAGGGACCGTGAGAGTTGGATAGGATAGATACGATGTTGTAGTGGTGTTGGGTGTAGTGTTGTTAGCGAATGGAGCGGCACGAGAGCCAAGAACTAAGCAGTTGAGTAAGAAACATGAGCGAGTGACTGATGAAGAAAACATATTGACACAGGAGAACTCTTTCAAGCTGACGAACACAAGTGCAGAGGCATGACGAAAGCTTTAAGCAAGCCAGGCAGTGCACCACGTGCAGCCACACCATCATTATTTCAAAGATCATAACAGAATCGGGCGTTCACCAAGACATGGCCAGCTGATGGGCTTTGGAGCTCGGCAGATCCAAAGACACACGCAGGGATATCTGTGGCTTGCCCCGGGCAGTGGTGATCGCAATGCGGTGCTTCCTGGAACCGATCGAGATCCACAATGTCAAGAAAGGGGGATGCAAGGGAGTTTTTCTCATGGCGAGCTTACGCTTCGGGTCTTTTGTCGAGAGATGATGGAGCTAACGAGGGAAAAAGCAAGTGATAAGATT